TTTCGATATTTGCCGCATCCCATGCCTATTTTTTATTTTCTGTTTCGATTACATTGATGTCTCCTATATTTTGATTTGTGATGAATTTGATTGATACAAATTCTTTTCGGATTTTGGGAGGGAAATGAGTGATGTACAAATGTTTCCCAAATGACTAAAGACTTTTCCAGATATGATCGCTTAAGCAATCTAAAATCGCTTAAGCGACAGAAACTCTATGAGGAAGCATCGCTTAAGCGATACGTCTGGGCAGATGTTCATTCTGCCTTGATAAAGATCGCTTAAGCGATCGTATATCGCTTAAGCGACAGAGACTCATTTAGGAAGCATCGCTTAAGCGATACATAAGATCGCTTAAGCGATTACCCATCTGGGTAGATGTTCATTCTGCCTTGATAAAGATCGCTTAAGCGATCCTATATCGCTTAAGCGACAGAGACTCGTTTAGGAAGCATCGCTTAAGCGATACATAAGATCACTTAAGCGATTACCCATCTGGGCAGATACATTCTGCCTTGGCCAAGATCGCTTAAGCGATCCAAAATCGCTTAAGCAACAGAGACTCATTTAGGAAGCATCGCTTAAGCGATACATAAGATCGCTTAAGCGATCATAGATCTGGGCAGATGCATTCTGCCGTGGCCAAGATCGCTTAAGCGATCAAGAGTGTTTTACGGAAATCGCATAAGTGATACAAATCGATCGCTTAAGCGACCAGGAGTAAAAGCAATGAATCGCTTAAGCGATACATGAGATTGCTTAAGCGATCATAGATCTGGTCAGATTCATTCTGCCTTGTCCACGATCGCTTAAGCGATTTAGATCGCTTAAGCGATCAGGAGTGTTTTGCGAAAATCGCTTAAGCGATACAAGTGGATGGCTTAAGCGATTTTCGATATGGGCATCTGCCACGAGCTAGATCTCTTAAGCGATTACCGATCACTTAAGCGATTAGCGAGCAGGAGTAAAAGCAACGAATCTCTTAAGTGTTCCTATGTATTCGGACATTATTTATTGTATTTCAGAGCATCGGTTTAGCGATTAACACTATGCTAAACATATAGGGTTTACGATTCNATATGACCATTTCCGGAGAGAAGAAATCAACTAATCCTTGCCACCGCTTCTGCTTTCGAACACACGACCATTGCACGGCTACTAGAGTCGATTCCAGCATGACAAGCCCCAGGCAATCGTACTACCACCAACTTGAAAGGCTTCTATTGATCGTGTCATCGCTAAGGCTGAAAGTTTCAACGATCATGTTGTTGCCGATTGTAAGACCACCACAAAAGGCCTCTGCTGATATACATTAATTCCGCAAGGTTGATGTATAGATTTTTAATCCAGCAATTTGTAAGTAGTTATGTAACATCATGTCCTCATGCTAGGTAAATATAATATTTATTTAAATTTTGCTATTTATGTTGTCTCTTATTAAAGAGTAATGTTATGCGTACTCACAGATCTTACTAACCATCTTCGTAACCTTTGTTAAAATTATATATGATACACATACTATGCTTATGGTACCCGTACTATGCTTTATATTTACAAAGGTTAGTACGCTGATTAGTAAACTCGTAAGTACGCATAGTATTATTGCTTATTAAAACTGATTTATTTGAATCTATTAGAAATTGAATTGGTGTTATTGTCTTCTACAAAGCGTATCAAGGTGCAACATATATCGAATGGAGGACGGGGGTAATGTTTCCTATTGGGTATATTCATGCATGCGACATCTTCTTCAATTACTTGTGGTCATAAGGCTTTAGCACGCAATCAACTGAAATTTTAATTTTGACAAAGCACAGTTTATTGTTTTTTTAATTTAATTATTTTTAGCATTCATTCCACATGTAGGCCAGTTGATGTTTGTTCTAAACAATGATTTTGGGTAGTCATAGCTACTTTGAAAATTTCATCTGTTCCCTAAAGAATTTACCCATTTTTATATACAGATAATTATCTGTTCCTGATGAAGTCGTTCCTCCAGTCACAGGGTCCATTGCTTTATATTAATTAATTGGGTAATACTGTAGTATTTTTTTTTTTTTGGATAAATCCTGAAATTGAATATAAAGAATAAAAAATTACAAACACCAGGGAAGCTCCCCTGAGACCAAGAGAACAACTTGAACATTCAAGAATTCACCTCAACAAAGGCCCAGAGACACTAGGCCTAACCAAGGCCCATAACAAAAACCAAACACTAAGCTAAGAAACTATACAAAAAAAACAAGCAGCTAATCAAATCATAGGCTCCCAAAACACCAAAGCCCACATCATTCAGGCCGAACCATTAATCCAGCTAATCCAGTTATTTACCTTTCAAACCATCAGCGGACGGATNATCCTAATTAAGCACTAATTACCCTTAATCAATAATATGGCTATTTAGTTAACACTTTAAAACTTGATAGCCTTTTAATTAAATGCAAACTTGAGATGTCCTTCTAGTAAACTGCCCCTAAGAACAAACAGCAACAGGGGGGCTATTTCAACAGTAATAGCGGGAAGGAGGGGAGCAATATCTTTGATTTGGGTTTGTGCTAAAATGCAACAATTTTAGGTTATTGGGGACAAAGGATAATTTTTGAAAGATTACTCAATGCCTTCATTAATCCTAATTAAACCATGATTATTATTTAATTGTTATTAGTTAGTTTTAATAAAAAATAAGGTCATTTAGTAAAGATTGAAAAACTACAAGACCTTTTAATTAAATTCAAAGCCAATATGGCCTTTTAATCATTTGCCCCGAAACATTATGTGGATGTTCGAGGGGAGAATAGCTATTTCCCACTCAAGGTTTAGTGAAAGTTCAGAGCATCTAACAGTTTTCTTTTTCACACAGGAATATGGGAAAATAACAGGTTCGTCCCTAATAGTTGGCTTAATTTCTTATAAAAAAAATTTGTAACACTTTAGTCCCTACAGTTTAGGGATGGGCGCGGGGCTGGGGATTTGGGGTCCCTGTACCCATACCCAACTCCTTAGGGGTTCATCCATCCCTGGGACAAGGATGTCGGGGAATCCCCAACCTCTCCTCATGGGGATGGGATGGTGTCCATCCCCAGAATTGCGGGTATTAATCCTTATGGGGATTTTCCCCCGGCGGGAGTAATCCTCAGTTGGGAATTTTCCCCAAATGGCTAATGAGAATTATTTTAAACTTTTTTTTTTGCTATTGATTTTGTATAATTCTCCTAAAATGTTCCCAAAATTTAGATAATTTACTTAGAAGAGAAATTCAGTTACTTAGTTTATGTTATAGTGCAATAAATTTACTAATCTTTAAGGGATTAATTAATTGCTTAATAAATTTGTAATTAATTATGTAATTACAATGTCATTAGATTATTAAATAATTAAATTGTATTGAATTAATTGACTAAATTTTAAAACATTATATAGAATATCAAAATTAAAGATCAAGATTGATATTTGATAACTCATAAATTATAATCAATTATTTGATTTAATTACTTTTTTAATGAAAAAGATTTAAGGAATGAGAAACTATTAATGTAATTTATGACTAATTAATAAAAATAAAAATCAAGATTGATACATCATACATCATTGCATCAGGTCTTAGTAAACCATTGAATAAAAATAAAACAATGTTAGTAAAATGTATGACTAATTAATTGATTAAAAAGACATGATAATAGAATTTGTGTAAAATAAAACAATATTAATAAATAATTTATTTATTTATTAGAAAGATAACAAAATTTGTGCAATTTGATATTTATTTTTCTAATATAGATTTCTCCTAAAATGTTCCTAAAGTTTAGATAATACTTAGAAGAGAAACTCAATTACCTTAGTTGATGTAATAGTACAATAATTCAACAATTCAACATCATGAACATAACAATATGATTAAACTAAACTATTAAAAATAGTTAAAAAAATTAATATAACCATATGATTAAACCAGATTTAGATTTATTGCCCCTCTTTGGATCTAATATGGTAAAATAAATTCTAAATTTAAGAAACTATATTACATAATATTCATCTTATTTAAAATAAGTTGAATTGTATTTCTGATAATTTATAAAATTTTGAAATATATCTTGTTCACATTTAGTTAAAGATAATAAATGATGTAATTTAATACTGTGAAGCATTGAAGAAGATACTTGGACTTTTAAGTCATATTGCTTTCATTCAAATTAATAATCAAATGATGAAATGATATCTAAATTATATAAACAGTCTTAGATTAATAATATTTATTAATCTAATATAAGATGAAATGACTAAATTGCATGTATATGTATTGGAATACTAAATATAAGACCTATTTTATATTTCATTTAGATATATAATAATATATACATTAGATATATAATAATAATATTACATTATTGTATAAAAGAAGGTGTTGGGCTACAATTTTTGGGGGCGGGTTGGGGATGGCATGGAGCAGGGTTTTCACGAGGCAGTCGGGGGCAACATGGGTCAGGGTTTTATGGGGCTTTTTAACAGAATGGTTCGAATTTTCCTCTCTTTTGAGAAGGTCTTTCATTATATAGGCAAGACTGCCAGTTATACAACGAAACTTAAATCTGTACATGCTAATTACACAGAGTGATTTTAGGAAGCTATACATGGTAAGCTAAATCCCCTCTCTTATTAATGAGAGCATATACAACCTAGATTAATAGCTATTAACAAGGCATAATTTATGGCCTTCTATTGACATCCCCCCTCAAATTGATGCGGGTTATCCATAAGCATCAATTTGTTTGTAAGAAAATTATGTCGTTGCCGTGTGAGAGCCTTGTTGAAAATATCTGCCACTTGAAGATTTCTAGACACATGAGGAAGAGAGATATTCTGAGCTTCAAACGTCTCACGGATGAAGTGGCAATCAACCTCGATATGTTTAGTGCGTTCATGGAAGATGGGATTGGCTAAAATGTGAATGGCGCTAGTATTATCTGCATGAAGAGAATAAGACCACTTGGAGAAAAGCCAAGTTAAACCAATAGCCCTTGGAGCCAAAGTATCTTAGCGCAAGCTTGGGACATGGCCCTATATTCGGACTCAGTAGAGGACTTAGAAACACGGTCTTGTTTCTTGCTTTTCCAAGAAATAAGAGCCGGATCAAGAAACATACACCAACCCATAGTAGAACGTCGAGTGTGACTACACCCGGCATAATCAGCATCACTATATGCTACAAGATCAAGTGAAGTACTAATAGGATAGGAAAGTCCCCGCAAAGCTGTGCCATGGACATAGCGAATGATTCGTCGAATTGCAGCCATATGAAGGTGCCGAGGAGAAACCATGAACTGACTAACTTGTTGGACTACATAGGAAATATCAGGTCTATTAATTGTAAGAAAAACCAAGCTGCCAACCAGCGTACGATAGGCTACAGGGTCTGACAACAAGTTACCCTCTTCTTTGCGCAACTTGAGATTAAGTTCCATAGGAGTATCAAGAGGGTTAGAGTCCTAGAGACAAGCAGCAGCCACCAAATCCTGGGCATACTTGTGCTGTGACAGAAAAATACCATGTGAAGCAGCAGTAATTTCTAGACCAAGAAAAAATGTAAGAGATCCCAGATCCTTCATGTGAAAAGAGTCTTGTAAATACTGCTTTAATTGGGAGATCAGAACCGAATCAGTACCCGTGATGATTATGTCGTCAACATACACCAAGAGAATGACAACATCAATCTCACTTTTGCGAAGAAACAAAGATGCATCATACTTGCTTTTGAGAAAAGCAAACTTGAGTAGGGTAGAAGTAAATTTCTCATACCATGCACGAGGGGCCTGTTTGAGACCATACAAGGAACGATGCAACTTGCACACTGCTGAAGTAGGGGTGGAAAGTAAACTTGCAGGAGGACGCATATAAACATCTTCCTTTAGATCCCCGTGAAGAAAGGCGTTCTTCACATCTATTTGGTGCAAACCCCAATTTTGAGAAGTGGCAATAGCCAAAATTGTGCAGATGGTGGTCATTTTGAAAAGTTTCCTTGTAATTTACTCCGTATTCTTGATTATTTCCACGAGCTACTAAGCGGACTTTGTACCTATCCAAACTACCATCAGACTTAACCTTAATAGAATAGACCCACTTACATCCAAGTGGAGTCACACCTGTAGGACAATCCACCACTTCCCAAGTCTTATTAGCCTTAAGAGCATATAGTTCCTCTTGTATGGCCTGCTACCAGCATTTCTCTTTAACTACCTGTGAGTAACCAGTAGGAATAGCAATAGAAGATAGAAGATAGAGTGGAAGAAAGTGTAGAAGTAGTAGTACCTACCATAAGTGACGGGAAACCATAACGGTCAGGAGGACCAGATACTCTAGAGGAGCGGCGCAAAGGATTAGATGGCAAGACAGGAACAGAAAGAGGCAATACTGGAGGTCTCCACTAGTATACCATGTCTGGCTGGAACCTTTCAATCTGAGTACTAGGAGCACTAAAAGTGTCATCAAAAGAAGGCAAGAAACCAATGGAAGACTCCAATGAGGAAGACATAGGAAAAAAACATTGATTTTCAAAGAAGAGCACATTCCTTGAAACACAAACCCGATAAGAGTTTGGATCATAGCATAAATAACCCTTTTGTGTGACATTATATCCCAAGAAGGCACAACGGATGGATTGGGCAGAAAGCTTGTTTCTGTCCAGTGGGGGAAGATGTATAAATCATACACACCAAAAAATGTGAAGATTTGTATAGGTAGGATTGCAATGATAAAGCCTGAAATATAGAGACTCGAAATTCAAAACTTGGGAAGGAAGTCTATTTATAAGAAAGGTTGTTGTGGTAAGTGCTTCAACCCAAAAGTTAAGAGGAACCGAAGACTCAATGAGCATGGTCCGGACAACATCTAAAAGATGATGATTCTTTTGTTTACCTACTCCATTTCATTATGGAGTATATGGATAAGAACGTTGAGAGATAATACCTTTAGATTGCAAGAAAGATTGGAACTCATGTGACATATATTCCCCACCCGAGTCGGACCGAAGAATTTTAACAGTAGCTGAAAATTGAGTTTCAACAAGAGCTAAGAACAATTTGAACATATGAAAAACTTCTGATTTGTGTCGCAAGAAATAAACCCATGTATATCTGTTGTAGTCATCGATAAATGTCACAAAATATTTGTTTTGGGCATGAGAAATAATAGGAGTAATACCCTAGACATCACTATGAATGATCTTAAAACTGTGGGTGGCTTTACTTCCTTCAAAAGGAAAGGGTAAAGTCTTACTTTGCCAAGTTTACAAGTTGCACAATCAAGAAACACAGTGGAAGATGAATGCTCTTTATTATTCAATAAACCAGATTTCAACAAATAAGATAGAATCCTAGAATTAGGATGACCAAGACGCTTATGCCAGACTTCATTTGACACTCTAGACTTATCACAAAGTAAAGATAGTATAGAGAAAGAAGGTAAGCTTCGTGGAACATGTAGTTATAGAGAAAAGAGATGTCTATGCGTAAGGCCCTTTGCTATCAACTGCCCTGACATCTGATCCTGCACAACACAACCACCATGAGTAAAATGTACATCATAATTTTGGTCCACAAGCTGGCCAACAGAAACTAAATTCACAGAGAGATTAGGTGATACAAGAAAATCCTTAAAGGAAGAAGATACATCACCAACTGCCACAATGGGTAGAGCACTACCATTGTCTATTTGAATATGTGAAGAGCCACAATATTCTCTGACATTACTTAAACCATGGAGAGAATTAGTCATATGATTAGAAGCGCCCGAGTCTAAGATCCAAGAGGGAGATGAAGAACCAGTACCTTGAAGACCCAATGCTGAAAATGCACTCACAATCATTTCTTGCACCGTTTCTCGAGTTAGAAAAGGTGCTAGAGGATGTAAAGCAACAACAGAAATGGCAGCAGTAGCAGCAGGCATAGCTGGCTGTAAGTCACCAGTAACAACAGCATGATAGTCATTGTTGGAGCATGAAGGACGAATAATACAGTCCTTAATAATGTGCCCTGGCTGCTTGCAGTAATTACAAAATTTCTAAGGACAGTTAGGGGCAATATGGCCATATTTCTTGCAACTATAGCATTGTGTGGTGCTCATGTCACGACCCTTCCCCTTGCCATGAGCAGCATAGGCAACAGAGACAGTAGTAGAAGCAACACGAGATTGCTCCGTAATATTCTGAGTATTGAGGCATTGTTCCTTACGCAAGAGTTCTCCAAAACAGGCCTCCAAAGTTGGAACAGGATCTCTATTTACTAGAGAGGCACGAATAGATTCAAAATCAGGCCTTAATTTCATTAGAAATTGGTCTCTTTGGCTGGTTTTGTGTACATGTTGTACTGCCTCCAATCCTTCTATAAAGACCTTGGTTATAACAAGGTCGGAATAATCACTCCACAAAGTCAGAAAACCAAAGTAGTAGTCTTGAACTGATAGATCCCCTTGAGTATGGTTAGCAATGGCCAACTTAAGCTGGAAGCGCCTAGCATTGTTGTCTTGGTTATAGACTTGCTTGAGATAATTCCACATAGCCTTTGTAGACCTATGAGGACGCAGAGAAGGAATCAGATGTGGCTCCATAGAACCAAGAATCCAGGACATGATTTGATTATCTTTGGCATCCAAGCTGCCTTGTTGGCCATTGACCTTTCTGTAGTAGATCCCCCATTGTTGTTGCCATCTATATGTCCTTATAGCGTTTTACCCTTGAGAAAGGTCTCTAATTGAAACTCCCAAGCAGCATAATTTTTGCCAGTGAATCTGACACAAACATTATCTGACTTCTCCATAAGTACTGAGGCTATGACTAAGAAAACTAGGATTGAGATTTCTTAGAGCCTGGCTCTGATACCATAACAAAATGGTTCGAATTTTCCTCTTTTCTGAGAAGGTCTTTCATTATATAGGCAAGACTGTCAGTTATACAAGGAAACTTAAATTTATACATGCTAATTACACAGAGTGATTTTAGGAAGCTATACATAGTAAGCTAAATCTCCTCTCCTATTAAATATTAATGAGAGTATATACAGCCTAGATTAATAGCTATTAACAAGGCATAATTTATGGCATTCTATTGGTCCTTGTCGGGGAAAAATAACCCCCATCAACCCCCCGCCCCCCCAGGTGCGGGGATTTTTTCTTGTCCAGCCCTGGCTCATCACCCAATAAATTCAGGTAATCAACGCCCATCTCTACTACAGTTTGTTGATAGTGACCAAGAAGTTACTAATAATATAATAAGGACTGAAACGTTACAGAAAAATTTTATAAGGCTAAAGAATTAAGCCAAACCTTATGAACGACATTGTTATTTTTCCCAGGGGAAAATTACATAAACATACTTCAAGTTTATTGGAAAGAAATGATTTACTCATTGCTGGAAAACTAACAATAATCTACCAAAATTAAACTCTTCTCAAGTTAAAATTAAAAGGAAAGGGGTAAAGAGTCATTTTATATTTACTTCTTTTCAAATCCCTAAATTACCCTCATTTTCATCATAAGAACCCGAAATAACCGTCATTAGAAAACCCCAATTAGAAATTAACTTTAAATTAGAATTTTCTCCTTTAGATTAATTTAAAAGGACAAAAAGAAATATATTTTACCTCAAACTCTAATTTCTTGACTAAACTCTAATTCCTTTATTTTAGATCAAATTTTTTGTTTAAAATCTATTTGAATTAAATGAAAGAAATTATTCCAAGAGTAAATTTTAATTTCAACAATAATTCATTTTGCTAGGTGGAATTATGTACAATGAATTAACAAACCACCAAATGATAATTCAATTATGCAGAGGCACTTACAATATTTGTAATAATTCCAATAACACCTTTATGTCTCAAATTGTTTAGGGCCTATTTAACATAAAATTTATTTACCTTTTTTTTTTTTTTTTTTTAATTAAGTAAACAACGAGCCATTATGCAATGAATTATGTAATATTTTTATTAAAAATAAAAAAAATCCTTCGGATTGAAGATATTCTGAAGCTAATGAAGTGATTCAAAAGATTGCTACATTGCCTTTTATCTTTGTCTTTGCCAATTGTTTGGATTGAACATATCCTAAGCTAATGATTGTAATATAATTTAGATTATAAAGTTTGAATACAATATAAATACTTGCTTTGAAAATTTGTATATTGTTGTTTGTTTGTTTATTGTCTAGTGTTATACATTCCAAATTTATATCCCAATTTATATCATATTGTTTTAGTACTACACATCAAGAATCACACAGCTCACTAAAACGATATCATACCACTTTGTATGCTAAAATAAATAAATATACTTTTAAGGGCAAAACATTTATTCAAAACCCCCTTCAATATGTCCATAATATTACTAGGCATCTTGAGCTGTATTCTATACCAATACAAACAACGCTAGGCACCAAAAACAAAATTTTACCGCATGTTTCCCTCCCGCAAGACATCTATCATATTGTAAATCCGCTTGTTGGCCTGCGACTGAACCTGTTTTTACATGACGGTTAAAAATCAAAATAGTAATTAAGAAGGCATCATCATACTAATCTGAGCTGAAAAACTGAAGATCATTATGGTTGAAATTATGAACTCCCACAATAAAACCGAACTTCATAAGAAATTTGATTCATATGTTTTATCAGATGATAAGAATACAATATAATGTGTTATTATAAGATCATGTGAAGTAAAATATAGTAAAAAATAGGCAATGAATGAAAGTATTAGTACCTTTTTAGAAAGGAAAATCACAGCATCAATAGTACCCTCGGCATATATTGATCTACCACAAACATTATGCTGAAACTCAAAAGAAACTCTGCAAAAGAGAGGAGGAATAGTCAGTTGATGCTCAGTTAAGATCAGAGTGACGAATTATATTCCTGGCCAAAAAGAAAAAAGAAATGAGAAGGATGCTTGTTATTACGTTTGGTCAGGTGAGGTGAGGTGATACATATGGAAAGCATGACCAGCCAAATGCTCCTCTGGAACTCCCACCATCTCAATTTGTTGCTTGGGATCCCGGATCATTTGTATCTAATGGAAGTTTAATAAGGATGACAGATTCAGAAGCCAACAAAAAAAGAGATCCATGGTCAATAAAATAACATTCGGACTAGTAAATGGAAGTAATGCTGATTATTCAAAGACCAGCAAGATCTAGCGTTCCACAATTTCAATAAGAACAATATTCCAATCAACATAATGTCAGCATAAATCATTTGTCTTCCTTTAGCTCAAGTAGAAACCCATCCATCTGCATGTACACCAGATAGATATTGCAAAAGACATGGCTATTAGCATAGAGAGATTAAATATCCTTGTCAGACATAAATATCCATGTCAGACCTATGAGATAAGGCTCTATTTAAAGAGCATCGTTTTTGCTTCATTGCATTCTTACCATGAGGCAGCAATGCCATATCCATAAAATATTACAATATATAACTTGTAAAATGGTACACACGAGAAGTTCTAATATATTGAGTCACGATAAGATCTAGTATGTCATATAACACACCTGATCCATATCAAAAGAGACCCCCAGATTCTGAAAGCATGAAATAACAGCTTTGGCAGTTCCAGATGTGTCAACTTTGCTTGTTTGATGGGACTCCAATACCTTAATACAAAAAAGCATCAGCTACTAGCATTATTACATCAAGACACTTAATGAAACAACCAAGCTTCCTTTGATTTGTCAGGCTCATTTGGTTTAATAACAAAATATGATTAAAAAAAGAGTTATGTTTAGAATTTTAAGTTTGAAAACCGATGCAATGTGTGTAGGAGTCTGTGGCTGAGCGGCAGAGGTCTGCTAAGTGAATATGGTAACATAAAAGTTTCACTTTTACACTAATCATTACTCCTTACAACATATGCAATCCAAATGAAGACTAAAAAAAGATATTAAGGCTGTTTAATCCTATAACAATGCAGAAACAAAGAAGTACCTGAAGTGAATACCCAGAAAAGGCTCCAGGAAATTGCTTGGCCATTATTTCCATAGCTGCAAGGAATGCGACAACCTACCAAAGCAAAATTTATTAGGAAATTGAATACAATAAATCACAGAGCATCCAAGTATTTACAGTTTATTAAAGATGTAGGATTCACATTACCTGCTTTCCCATTTGCGGGGAGATCACAGCATAGACCTTTGAGTTTTCTACAGTCTTATACAACTTATCCCTATCTCCACCTGTGGTTCCCATAACAAAGGGCACTCCAACTTTTGAATAAAGCTCGGCGTTATCTACAATTTGCCAAAAGAACCACAAGAAATCAAACTAAAAATAGAGAACCTTCTATGCAACATAATGTTATATATAAACAATCAAATGAAGGCTGAATTAAACAAAATATATTGAACTAAGCTGGTCTAATGAATAATCAAAAATAAAATCAATGGCCTTTAGACTAATGATAGACCGTAAAGAAAACTTATAATTAGAACAATTAAGTCAAACCTGAACATAGTTAACAGGATGAAAAAAAAAAAAAAAAAAAAACACTAAATGGGTACCATTTATAAGAAAAAAATCATACCCCTTTCCCTTTTTTTTAGCATTTTCAAATGGTTCCTATGAACACTTCTGATTTACAACTTAAACAACTTAAATTGAATCCAATGACGTAGCCCATTTTATGGAAATAAACTACTAAATCTTGTCTTTCTTCTGCTAAACATCTAGCTTTCAACATTCAGATTACTTTTTCTTTTTCAAATAAACATAATCATGATTGGTTACCATTCACTGCACTGGGCACAGTGTAGTCCACCACGATCATGTTTGGATATTTATCAAAGACAGAAGCAAGGACACTTTCCCTGTCAGAAGGACCATGCACCAGAATCTCTTTCCCACATACTTCTATTGTTTGCCCAGATTCCTCTTCCGAGCCAAATGATGCAGGAACCAACTGAAGTCCTGTAGAATCTGCTGCCTTTATAACAGCCTTACCCATTTTTCCACTACAGCCATTAACCTGCAAATAAAGCAGTTCCAACACAAGAGGCAAGTCACTAATTCATTTTACAAAAGCACAACTATTGTCCTCAGTTAAATAGTCTCAAGATATGCAACATTGCTAATTTAGCAAGTTTAGAACAAGAATAAGAAAAAAATCATATTTGACTTCCTACATGTTCACGAAATTAGTGAGCAAAGGAATTAAGACTGAAATATCACTTAAACAGGGGGAGGCAAGAACTTGGAGTAGTGAAGCAATAAAGGAATAAATTGGAAATCGGTAATCTCCCAACCTTCTAGTGTTATTTTATTTGGGGATTTTTATTTGATGGCTGCTTTTGTAATTAGTTTTCAAGTCTCTAGTCAGGCTTTTTTGCACCTAGATTCTTGGGTTTGTTACCAGTTTAATCTTTCATCAATTTGCAGACAACTAGTTCACTTTCATGTATAGTGTACAATCTATTTATTAATAATACACTTTGTTTCCTATAAAAAATAGACATGGAATAACGTCAAAACCAAGCAATTACAGAATTAAAGTTTATCTTTATATATATATATATATATATATATCAGAACAATATCAATGATGTCTAAAACATGCTAGCTTCATTTTGGTTCTACATTCCTTATCCAAAAATAATGAATTAAATTCTGTTAGCCATTTTGGATGTGCTACTGAAATAGCCTTTCAATCTACATTTTCATTTATTCCACCCATTTCGTGGCATTTGGTGAAGTATTCTTAATGGTTTAACAACAGCTACGGATCCTTTCTGTATCCATACCGGTTTCTGTGGCACAAATTCAAAGCATGAAATAAAAAATGTAACAGATTCGCCATAAAGAACTCCACCAAAATTCAAACCCAACTTGATTGAAACCTTATAATCAGACAGTTGACATACCATGATAGGAATATTGAAGTTTTTTGAACTGGGCGTTTCCAACTCTTGAATTGGCTTAGTAGTTGAAGACATTGACAAAACTGCAGGAACCAAACATCTTGGTCTTGAGAAGACAACATTATTATTATTAACATTACCAAGACTACAACACTGTTTCTTGAAAATCTGTGTCTTCTCCAGCTGAGAAATGGCGCTGCAAGGAGCTTTAAGTAACAATGCCATCACCTGCTATATAAAAATTCATAAGAAAAACATGTCAGTTCGGTTGTTTATCAAGAAAACTAAGTGGGTTTTTATCAGAAAGCACAATAATTAAGGAATGTCACCTGGTTTAGAAGGATGAACTTGGGGTTCTGATGTCTCTTTGATGAGTTTTGAAAAAGGAAACGACTGGCTATTGAGGAAGAAAGAAATAAATTCTTAAAACCCTAAACACCGGGGTTTCTGTGAAGAGAATTTTGGGTTTTGGGTAAATTTTTTTTTTTTTTTTTTTAAATTCTATTTTTTATCCCCAACATTTGTGTTTTATGAAATGGGAAAATTAAATTTTAAAATAATAAATAAATTAAAATAATTTGTCTTGATGTAAAATATAAATAAATTTTTTCGTTTTTGAATATAAAATACAAAAAAATTTACATAGATACATTTTTAAAAAAATTAATAGAAATGAGTTTACGAAACGATCTTTAAAGTTAATATAAAAATCAGAAAATGAAAAAAAAAAAATTTCTAATAATCCATATAATATAATATTTATATACAACTTTTGTTTTCAATAGCAGGCAAGAACTAATTACAAGAAATTTTATTAAAAAAAAGTAGAAATTTTATTTAAAAAAAGGAAAATGGATTGAAATGTTTTTATAATTAATATTCGATTACTTTTTAAATGAAATATTAGTCATAATTAGTGATATATATTTAATATATTATATATTTTTAGCTGGGACGAGGTCGAGGTTTATGTGTTTTGATCTTTCTCCACCTCCGTCCTTGGTTTGGGGATATAATTTTCTCCATCCTTGCCCCTTAACCCCGAACTTTTTCAAGTATTTTCTGTTCAACAAGTTTGATTTTTCTGGGTATCCAATTATGGCCCTTTTTTATGTCATCCCTACTCTATCCACCTAAAATAAAATAAATTATTTTTATTTTTATTAAAACTTATATTAAAAAAAAAGTTGCTTTTAAATTATAATATTATGTATATACTTAACAAAATGAATTTATAAATTTTAATATATGTAATTAGTCTAATTTTTCTCGTATCACGTGATTTTGTATGGGATGACGAGATTTTTTATATTCTGTTATATTAATACTTTGATAACATCAAAATATTATTATTTGCTCTCTTATAAGCAATTCTTGTTTTAAAGAAATTTTGAAAATTGTTTTTGATGTAAAATGGTTCTTTTTTTAATAGATAATCTTAATCAAACTAATAAAAAAAATCTTATGTACTAGAATAAATTCATGATTTTGATATCCTAATTGAGAATATATATATATATATTTTTTTTTTATGATTGGGGGTATCTAAGCCATCTTACACGCGCTTCAACTAGTCTTCTGGACTTTAGAATTATCAGTTGGGTAAGAGCTCCAGTAGCTATCTCATTAACAACCAATAAGATATTCAAACTTAAGACCTTTTAAATAATACACCCAATAATACCTATCGAACCATTCGATCACCTAGAGATAGTTTGATGTCCTTATTTTGTATGCTACACTAAATTCAAATTATTAAATGTTCTAAAATCACATAGTATAAATTTTAATTTGAAATTAAAGTAAAATTAATTAATTTTTGGTGTTGGGTTTTCAAGGAATCATGTTAATACGTTTTTTAATGATTTATGATTATTATATATCTTTTGAAAAAAAAAAAAAAAAAACTGAAAAAAGGATAGAAGGTTGTATAGGAAATAGAAGACAAAAAAAGAGAAAAAAGAAAATTGGATAATTGATTTACCAATTAATTTTACTAATTTTTTCACACTTAATAAGAAGATCAAATAATTATTTAATAAAAATGTTAATTAAATTCATAATTTTTTATAGTTTTATAAATAATTATTATATACAAAACTTTATTTAAAATCCACCCAAGCTAACCCAATTTTTCAAACTTTAAATTTACGTTAGATTAATTTGGGTAGGGTTTTCAGAATTGAAATGGGTCGGGTCTAAACCCACCCATTTTCCATTAACAGTTCCGTGGGGTTCTGTCACTCCCTTAGGTTTAGTGAAAACTTAAGAACCACAGGTTTGTAAAATGACACTTAAGCCCCTTCTTTTACAGACGTTAATTACATTTGAATTTTAGGGCTAATGGCACTGACATCCAGTTTCCCCCCACCACAAGCGATTTGGCTAACCCCACTGTCACTGCCACCCCCAGACAATCCAGCAGCCCGCTAATGAGGTATATAGGAGATGTTATACAATTTTCAATTTAATTTATTTTTTTCTTTCCTTTTTTTTATGGATTTGCAGCGGTGTCTCTGGGTAATGGTTGTTTGTTGGTATTGAGTTTTTGAATAAAGAAGAAAATTGAAGAATGTTCTGGGTTGGATTTTTCATGGGTTTAAGGGAGAAAATAATAAAAAGTTTTGGAATGAGAAGATATTTGGGTTTGAAAATTATGAATTTGTAGAGAAAAGATTTAAGAGGAAATGAAGATTTGGGTTTCGGAATTATTGAAGTGTAGAGAAAAATTTAAGAGGAGAGATCACAGTTCTAGTTAATTAATTTTTTTTTTAATAAAATTATTCTATTTTTTTATTTTTTTTCTTAAATTTTTTGGCATCATTTTATGATTTTAGGCTTATATATACACCCAGAGAAAGCCACCCAGCAACTCTGTGTAAACCCTAAACCTCTGTAAACATGTTGCTGAATATGCTTCGCCGCCGTTGGCTTCTCTCTCCACCTCACCCTCCTCTTTCCGTAAGGGTAAACCATGCACTATCTAAATATTATTATTATTATTATTTATTATTTTTTTTTTTCTAGATGCTTTATCTTTTAACATAATTTTGTGTGTTATTGTAGGTTTTTTCATTACTCGCAACATTTCTAGAGCGTCTTGTTTCTGCCTCTGCTTCATCATATCAACCTTGTTGGTAAGCTACTTCTAGTAATTTATCCTCATATTAAAAGATTTAGAGCCTTGTACACAACATATTCAATAATATTGATGAATTGATATTTTATATTATAGTATTCTATAAGTTTTAGGTTCATATATTATTATTAAACTACAATTATTACAAGTTTGTATACCACACTTATATGTTCAAAGTCACAAATGTACTATAATAGTATTTAAAAGAATTTTTTTGTTTCAATACTTCAATACATTGACAACTTATCATTTTCTAACACTAGTTATAATAAAAATAGTTTAGTAATTGTATTTTCGAAGGTTGAGATTCAGTTTACATGACATTCATAATTATATCTTGAAAATGATTCAAGTTGGATTGGATCTCAATAATTCTAAGTTCTTCACGAACTATGTTACAGATTAATATTGTATAAAAAAAAAAAAGAAGATAAATGTAATTTTCATATTTTATGAATTAGGAGGGAGATAGAAATGGAGAAAACAGATGGAATTAAATGGTAAATTTTAGCAATTTATAAAATATGCAAGAGAGAATGAAAAATATAAGAACTATAATGACTGAATGAGTACACTTAAAATATAAGATAATAAAAAATCTAGACGTAACTTTTGATGGTATTAGTTCTAATTGGTATCATTAGTTAATTGTTTATTGTATTGTAAGTTATATTTTTAATTACTTGGGGTAATTTAGTAAAAATCTTTTGTACTTTATTGTTTATATATTATATTTAATATCCCTAATAAAGAGGACAGTAGGCCAAAGTAGCTCCAACAATTTACCTCACCATACTTGTCTTTTTCTTAACATTTGAAATATTTTCTGAAAAATGCAGTGTTGATTATTATATAAAAGAAACATGCTACAACACTGAGTCACTGATATCAAATGGCCAGAGGGCAATTGCCTTTTGGGCTGGACAAATGGAAGAAGCTGCAATATTGGCTTTTGAGTATGGAAGTAATCTGGTTTGTACATCACTCAAATTTTTTTTTTTTTTTTTTTTAATAATCTGTTAATGGTCTTAATTTATCACAAACAGTGAATGCTTTATGGTGCATTTTTTGGGCATGAATTAAAAAGAGAAAGAAAGACACCATAGTGAACTTTGAAAATTTCACCATGAAACTTTCCACCCCTTGTGATCTTTGCCATGGTGAATGTAAAAAGTTAGCCATAGTTAATATTGTCTTAGAAAATGACAAATTTTGGTATTACAGTCTTGTGATCATTTCTGCTTTTGCTTTTTCCATAAGGCATTTCTTTTCTGCTCAAGTTATTCTTAATGATGTTAAATGTAATTATGCTGAAGAAGAACACGGGTATAGCTAAGTGGTTTACATTGCAATGGTTCTCTTGTTGCCAGCTACTAGATGCTGCGTCAAGTATAGAGAGGATTTATAATGTGTGTGTAACTTACTTTTTGTTCAACTACCTCATACCATTATTTGCAAGCCCCAACTAGTTGATTGAAATTGCAATATTCCATAAAATCCCTTTTAGCAAAAGGGAGTTTATAGTGTGTGCTACTTCATTTTCTTTATATCTTTCTGGCTTTCCTTCTTGCTTAATTTACTCCCCTTTTCAGGGACTAGCATACCAATTGACCAATGATGTTCTCGATTTCACCGGCACACCAGCAATTTTGTCAAGAAACCTTACTTTTAACTCTAGTTCAGGCTCCAACTTTGATGGCCGTTTTGTTGAAAAGGATGACTTTGTTGAGAGTACTGATGGTTATGACAAAGATTCTGGAGATTTGAGTTTCTTTGGTAGTCATCATGGTGACATTAAAAAGAATAAAAAATCTAAATTTGATAGATTTGATAAGGTTGAGGATTCTGATGAAGAATTAGAAGATGGGGAGCATGATAGTGATTGTGATGATACTTTCACAGTTTTGGATTCTTTTGATAAAAACTGTTTAAATAAAGATGATATTAGGAGAGTTGAAGTGGAGGAAGATGAACTTAGACACCCTTTAGTGAGAGAAGTTTGTAGGTTGATTGAACTTAGGTCAGCTTGGAGCCCAAAGCATGAAGAGGAATTGAGACACCTGTTACGAAGCCTCAAGTCTTGGCAGGTTTGTGCTGTTTTGCGCTCTCAGGCTGATGAACGTGTTGCTTTGAAGTTTTTCTACTGGGCTGATAGGCAATGGCGATATCGGCATGATACAATAGTGTATTATGTGATTCTTGAGGTTCTCAGTAAGACAAAATTGTGTCAGGGTGCTAAGCGGGTTCTTCGGCTTATGGCACGTAGGGGAATTAACTGTCGGCCTGAAGCATTTAGTTATGTAATGGTGGCTTACAGTCGGGCAGGCAAGTTGAGAAATGCAATGCAGATATTGACTATGATGCAAAAGGCTGGAGTTAAACCTGACTTATTGATATGTAACACTGCAGTTCATGTTTTGGTGGTGGGAAATAAGTTGGAGAAGGCATTGAGGTTTGTGAAAAGGATGCAACTTGTTGGCATTACACCTAATGTTGTTACTTATAACAGTTTGATCAAGGGATATTGTGATTTACAATGCATTGAGGATGCCATGGAGCTGATCACTGAAATGCCATTTAAAGGATGTTCTCCAGATAAAGTTAGTTACTTTACCGTAATGGGTTTTCTATGCAAGGAGAAAAGAATTAAAGAACTGAGGGACTTAATGGAGAAGATGGTGAATGATAGTAATTTGTTACATGATCAGGTTACTTATGGTACTCTTATCCATATGCTCTCAAAGCATGGCCATGGTGATGAGGCTCTTGAATTTCTGAAGGAGGCTGAAGATAAGGGATTTCACGTTGATAAAGTAGCATATAGTGCAATTATTCACTCCTTTTGTAAGGACGGAAGAATCAAGGAGGCAAAAGAACTGGTAAATCAAATGTTTCAGAAAGGTTGTATTCCTGATGTAGTTACTTACACTACTGTTGTTAATGGATTTTGTCGGTTGGGAAAATTGGACTTAGCTAAAAAGATGCTTCAGCAGATGTACAAGCATGGCTGCAAACCAAACACTGTGTCACATACTGCCTTGTTAAATGGGCTTTGTCATAATGGAAGATCATTAGAGGCTAGAGAGATGATTGACATGTGTGAGGAAGAGTGGTGGACTCCTAATGCCATCACTTATAGTGTTGTGATGCATGGGCTGCGGAGGGAAAGAAAATTATCAGAGGCTTGTGATGTGGTGAGGGAGATGATTAGAAAGGGCTTCTTTCCAACACCAGTTGAAATTAACTTATTAATTCAGTCGCTTTGTCAAGATGGAAAAATCAATGAGGCTAAAAAGTTCATGGAGGAGTGCTTAAACAAGGGATGTGCTGTTAATGTAGTGAACTTTACTACTGTGATCCATGGATTTTGTCAGAAAGATGACTTGGATGCTGCTCTTTCATTGCTTGATGACATGTATTTGAGCAACAAACACCCTGATGTAGTCACTTATACGACGATAATTGATGCTTTGGGGAAAAAAGGTAGAATAGAAGAGGCAACTGAACTTAGTAACCGAATGCTTCAAAAAGGTTTGGTTCCTACAGCTGTTACATACAGGACAGTTATCCATCGATATTGTCAGATGGGTAGAGTGGAAGATTTGTTAGGCTTGCTAGAGAAGATGCTTTCAAGACAGAAGTGTAGAACAGCTTATAATCAAGTTATTGAGAAGCTATGTAGTTTTGGAAACTTGGAAGAGGCTGAAAAACTCTTGAGTAAGGTCTTGAGAACTGCTTCAAAAGTTGATGCTAGCACATGCCATGTGCTTATGGAAAGTTATTTGAGGAAAGGGATTCCTCTGTCTGCATATAAAGTAGCTTGTCGTATGTTTAATCGGAATCTGATCCCTGATTTGAAGTTATGTGAGAAGGTGAGCAAGAGACTAGTCTTTGAAGGAAAATCAGAGGAGGCAGATAACCTTATGCTACGATTTGTTGAGCGTGGAAAAATTCAACCTCAGAACCAAGAGCACTAGCAAAGCTAGAGCCTAAAGGATTCTTTTAAACTTGGTATTCCAGATGGATTTGGTTCCATTTCCCTTTCCCTTTTTCTCTGGTGCTATCTAAAACTATTTTGCCCAAGGTAAGTAACTACTTTTTTCATTTTTCTATTATTTCTTGTCATTTTTCTTTAGTCAGATGTTTATCTTATTTTATGCCATGTGTACAAAACACTACTAGAAAAACATTTGATGTGACACCATTTTGTGGCTGTCTCAAAAATGCTGCCACAAAAATTAGTAATATTTGAGTTTAAAGAACTTAACTAATTTGGAAAAAATTACTGATACATAATATTTGAAAGAATTACAGTTGACTAAGGAAAATAAAATCTCACTCAGTCCATTTCTTTGCTGCAAAAACCATCTATCTCTATCACCAATCTCTCCCTCTCCAAAGCCTAGCTCACTCCAAATAATCTCTCAATTTCTGGCTTGATCTCCCTGAATCACTGAATCTCTGGCATTGATCTCTCTGAATCACCGACCACCTAGCATTAATCCCTTTATCTCAGGCTTAGTAAGCTAGATTTTTTAGTAAGCTAGATTTTTTCTTCTCAGTCTTTCAATCTCTGAGTCCTTGGCATTCTTTATAATCCAATGGTTATTATTGGTTTGATAATATTCATTGCTGAGATGCTGATTCTATAATAGGCCTTTGTAGCATTTTACGTTCTCCTTTTGTTTGTGCACTTATGACTTGTTTGTTTCCTGTGAAGCTTTACTTGAGTATATTATCTATTGTGAAATTTGATTCTGTGAAATTTCGCTTTCTTGTTAATTCCTAGCTAGATATCTTCCCAGTCGTTCATTTTGTTCATTCTATGTATTTCATTTTGATATTAGAAATACCGAAAAATTTCAACTTAGAACCAAATTTGCGTTAATTAAAAACAATCATGAAGATCTATATTGTGGTAAAATGGTGACTAATTCTTTTTTATTTTTTTTAATAATCTGTTAATGGTCTTAATTTATCACAAACAGTGAATGCTTTATGGTGCATTTTTTGGGCATGAATTAAAAAGAGAAAGAAAGACACCATAGTGAACTTTGAAAATTTCACCATGAAACTTTCCACCCCTTGTGATCTTTGCCATGGTGAATGTAAAAAGTTAGCCATAGTTAATATTGTCTTAGAAAATGACAAATTTTGGTATTACAGTCTTGTGATCATTTCTGCTTTTGCTTTTTCCATAAGGCATTTCTTTTCTGCTCAAGTTATTCTTAATGATGTTAAATGTAATTATGCTGAAGAAGAACACGGGTATAGCTAAGTGGTTTACATTGCAATGGTTCTCTTGTTGCCAGCTACTAGATGCTGCGTCAAGTATAGAGAGGATTTATAATGTGTGTGTAACTTACTTTTTGTTCAACTACCTCATACCATTATTTGCAAGCCCCAACTAGTTGATTGAAATTGCAATATTCCATAAAATCCCTTTTAGCAAAAGGGAGTTTATAGTGTGTGCTACTTCATTTTCTTTATATCTTTCTGGCTTTCCTTCTTGCTTAATTTACTCCCCTTTTCAGGGACTAGCATACCAATTGACCAATGATGTTCTCGATTTCACCGGCACACCAGCAATTTTGTCAAGAAACCTTACTTTTAACTCTAGTTCAGGCTCCAACTTTGATGGCCGTTTTGTTGAAAAGGATGACTTTGTTGAGAGTACTGATGGTTATGACAAAGATTCTGGAGATTTGAGTTTCTTTGGTAGTCATCATGGTGACATTAAAAAGAATAAAAAATCTAAATTTGATAGATTTGATAAGGTTGAGGATTCTGATGAAGAATTAGAAGATGGGGAGCATGATAGTGATTGTGATGATACTTTCACAGTTTTGGATTCTTTTGATAAAAACTGTTTAAATAAAGATGATATTAGGAGAGTTGAAGTGGAGGAAGATGAACTTAGACACCCTTTAGTGAGAGAAGTTTGTAGGTTGATTGAACTTAGGTCAGCTTGGAGCCCAAAGCATGAAGAGGAATTGAGACACCTGTTACGAAGCCTCAAGTCTTGGCAGGTTTGTGCTGTTTTGCGCTCTCAGGCTGATGAACGTGTTGCTTTGAAGTTTTTCTACTGGGCTGATAGGCAATGGCGATATCGGCATGATACAATAGTGTATTATGTGATTCTTGAGGTTCTCAGTAAGACAAAATTGTGTCAGGGTGCTAAGCGGGTTCTTCGGCTTATGGCACGTAGGGGAATTAACTGTCGGCCTGAAGCATTTAGTTATGTAATGGTGGCTTACAGTCGGGCAGGCAAGTTGAGAAATGCAATGCAGATATTGACTATGATGCAAAAGGCTGGAGTTAAACCTGACTTATTGATATGTAACACTGCAGTTCATGTTTTGGTGGTGGGAAATAAGTTGGAGAAGGCATTGAGGTTTGTGAAAAGGATGCAACTTGTTGGCATTACACCTAATGTTGTTACTTATAACAGTTTGATCAAGGGATATTGTGATTTACAATGCATTGAGGATGCCATGGAGCTGATCACTGAAATGCCATTTAAAGGATGTTCTCCAGATAAAGTTAGTTACTTTACTGTAATGGGTTTTCTATGCAAGGAGAAAAGAATTAAAGAAGTGAGGGACTTAATGGAGAAGATGGTGAATGATAGTAATTTGTTACATGATCAGGTTACTTATGGTACTCTTATCCATATGCTCTCAAAGCATGGCCATGGTGATGAGGCTCTTGAATTTCTGAAGGAGGCTGAAGATAAGGGATTTCACGTTGATAAAGTAGCATATAGTGCAATTATTCACTCCTTTTGTAAGGACGGAAGAATCAAGGAGGCAAAAGAACTGGTAAATCAAATGTTTCAGAAAGGTTGTATTCCTGATGTAGTTACTTACACTACTGTTGTTAATGGATTTTGTCGGTTGGGAAAATTGGACTTAGCTAAAAAGATGCTTCAGCAGATGTACAAGCATGGCTGCAAACCAAACACTGTGTCACATACTGCCTTGTTAAATGGGCTTTGTCATAATGGAAGATCATTAGAGGCTAGAGAGATGATTGACATGTGTGAGGAAGAGTGGTGGACTCCTAATGCCATCACTTATAGTGTTGTGATGCATGGGCTGCGGAGGGAAAGAAAATTATCAGAGGCTTGTGATGTGGTGAGGGAGATGATTAAAAAGGGCTTTTTTCCAACACCAGTTGAAATTAACTTATTAATTCAGTCTCTTTGTCAAGATGGAAAAATCAATGAGGCTAAAAAGTTCATGGAGGAGTGCTTAAACAAGGGATGTGCTGTTAATGTTGTGAACTTTACTACTGTGATCCATGGATTTTGTCAGAAAGATGACTTGGATGCTGCTCTTTCATTGCTTGATGACATGTATTTGAGCAACAAACACCCTGATGTAGTCACTTATACGACGATAATTGATGCTTTGGGGAAAAAAGGTAGAATAGAAGAGGCAACCGAACTTAGTAACCGAATGCTTCAAAAAGGTTTGGTTCCTACAGCTGTTACATACAGGACAATTATCCATCGATATTGTCAGATGGGTAGAGTGGAAGATTTGTTAGGCTTGCTAGAGAAGATGCTTTCAAGACAGAAGTGTAGAACAGCTTATAATCAAGTTATTGAGAAGCTATGTAGTTTTGGAAACTTGGAAGAGGCTGAAAAACTCTTGAGTAAGGTCTTGAGAACTGCTTCAAAAGTTGATGCTAGCACATGCCATGTGCTTATGGAAAGTTATTTGAGGAAAGGGATTCCTCTGTCTGCATATAAAGTAGCTTGTCGTATGTTTAATCGGAATCTGATCCCTGATTTGAAGTTATGTGAGAAGGTGAGCAAGAGACTAGTCTTTGAAGGAAAATCAGAGGAGGCAGATAACCTTATGCTACGATTTGTTGAGCGTGGAAAAATTCAACCTCAGAACCAAGAGCACTAGCAAAGCTAGAGCCTAAAGGATTCTTTTAAACTTGGTATTCCAGATGGATTTGGTTCCATTTCCCTTTCCCTTTTTCTCTGGTGCTATCTAAAACTATTTTGCCCAAGGTAAGTAACTACTTTTTTCATTTTTCTATTATTTCTTGTCATTTTTCTTTAGTCAGATGTTTATCTTATTTTATGCCATGTGTACAAAACACTACTAGAAAAACATTTGATGTGACACCATTTTGTGGCTGTCTCAAAAATGCTGCCACAAAAATTAGTAATATTTGAGTTTAAAGAACTTAACTAATTTGGAAAAAATTACTGATACATAATATTTGAAAGAATTACAGTTGACTAAGGAAAATAAAATCTCACTCAGTCCATTTCTTTGCTGCAAAAACCATCTATCTCTATCACCAATCTCTCCCTCTCCAAAGCCTAGCTCACTCCAAATAATCTCTCAATTTCTGGCTTGATCTCCCTGAATCACTGAATCTCTGGCATTGATCTCTCTGAATCACCGACCACCTAGCATTAATCCCTTTATCTCAGGCTTAGTAAGCTAGATTTTTTAGTAAGCTAGATTTTTTCTTCTCAGTCTTTCAATCTCTGAGTCCTTGGCATTCTTTATAATCCAATGGTTATTATTGGTTTGATAATATTCATTGCTGAGATGCTGATTCTATAATAGGCCTTTGTAGCATTTTACGTTCTCCTTTTGTTTGTGCACTTATGACTTGTTTGTTTCCTGTGAAGCTTTACTTGAGTATATTATCTATTGTGAAATTTGATTCTGTGAAATTTCACTTTCTTGTTAATTCCTAGCTAGATATCTTCCCAGTCGTTCATTTTGTTCATTCTATGTATTTCATTTTGATATTAGAAATACCGAAAAATTTCAACTTAGAACCAAATTTGCGTTAATTAAAAACAATCATGAAGATCTATATTGTGGTAAAATGGTGACTAATTCTTTTTTAAATATATATAACAGTAATCTCTCTGAACATTGTATATTTTTGTTGTTGCTCTGTATCTATGCGTGATTACTTTCTAGCAGATCAAACGGTGTGGAATAATTGATTTCGAAAAGCTGATCTCATTGTTTTGAGATTTGAAAGCCGATAATTTGGAGTGTGATTTTTGTATTAGGGTGACCGGATTTAAGTACTGAAAAGTTTAAGTGGCTCTTGGTGGTAATTTGATTTCGTTGTATGGTTGAATACAGTAACTTAGGCATTCATCACTAGCTATACCTTGGTTCAGAGAGAACTGAGGGGATTCCTCTTGCATAAGTTCAATTACTTTAGCCTTAGCCACAGCCTCTAAATTGGAAATTCAATAAAAAAATATCATGAAAATATCACTAATTAATTAACCCTTCTTTATCATGAATTGGGCATTCCCTGTTCTCTTATGTATTATAGATTAGTTACGAGAATCTTTCTTTCTTGCTTCTTTGTCTTCTATGGGTATTGTTATTATGGACTAGTTACGAGAACCTTTCTTTCTTGCTTCTTTGTCTTCTCTCTGTGGGTACTTTTTTCCATTTTACTTGTCATTTGTTTTGCATATAGTTGGTATATGTATGTAGACAGAGCAAAACAATCGCTTTCAGTTTTAATAGAGTAAGAGAATTTACTTGTTTGTGCTTTGTGAAATGAAGCAGCAACTTTGCTTAGATTTAAAGATGGGAGCAAGCATGTCTTGAGTTTGAGAACCCACATGGATTTGACCCTCCAAACGGTGGATCAGCTTATGGAGCTCAGTTTAATGCAATTCCAAGAACCAAGGGAAAGCTCGGTTGATGACAACAAAGAAATTAACTAGCTGGTACATAGCCAGTAGCTCACCCTCACATTCACAAGCTACCCTTTCTTTATTCTATACACGGTGTTGATATTAATATTTGTTTAATTATGATTAAATATGGTTTTGGTTTTTGTGTAGATGATGGTTTATTTCACAGCTCCTTGGTGTGTACCAACCTTGTAAATTCTTGGAACCGTATATTAATGAAATAGCTTCCAAGTATTCAGACATTGCTGGAGGTAAATAACACTCTTAATTATCTAAAATAGCTTGCTAACTATTATTTAGAAGTAATATCATTATCATACGTATAAGTTATATATATATTAATCATGATGCTGCCTTAAAATTAAACCAAGGCTCTACATATCAAAAGTGGCTGCTACTGATCAGGGTCACCATAATCACCTCTTTTTTATTTTTATTTTTTATTTTTTTAATGACCGGGGTGTCTGGACCAGCTTGTATGCACCTCAACTAATCACCTATTTTCTATTGGTAAAATAAGATCGTTGTTTCTAGAATTTTCATATTATTGTAGTTTGTTGAAGCTATTGTTTGCTTTTACATGTTATATATGTTCAATATCTTCCCTGCTTCTTATAAAGATTTGTTCTTTATTAAGGATAATACATTGCTATTTATTTTGCAGTTTGGTTACATTTTGTTGTTTGTTTCTAGTTAGAAACCAGAGACAAAAGAAAATCTGAAAATTGTTCATTGGTGTCCTCACTTGTTTCTTTCCAGGAGCAGTATCTAAAATTGTCTGAAATAAAATTTAAAACTTGGAAAATGTAAGTTGAGCTGGAGGAATTCAAGACAGAAGCTACTCACTTAGAGAATCAGCAAGCAACTATAAGAAGATTTGAACAGCGCAATCACCAGTTAGAGCAAAAGGTTAGCAGTTCTTTGTGAACTGTTGTCACAATGATAGCAATTTTGTGTGATTTTTTATTGCTCATCTGCTATGCTGTGAATGGAATGTTGTTAGTCGCATTGTCTTTCTGAACTCAGGGGTCGGATTGGAGGTGATCTATGAAAAATGATGCATCAGTGATTTCTATTGAGAAGCGCTTTAGAGCCTACCTCTAATACCATTTATAAAATTTCACTCATGAATAGTAAGCTTTTCCAAGCTCCAAATATATGCAAGTCTCATAGTTTAGGGATTTAATCATATAATAAAGTAATTACTGTGGAATATGACTGTTTCAGTAGTGAAAAACTCTTTTATACAGGATGATGCAATACGACCTGCCAATAAGAGGGCAATTATATTCCGCTCTTGCTGATGTGACATATACTCATTAGTCAGTTCTGTTGCAATATTTTGTAGGAAAGACTTTCTCGTTGGTGGTCCAGAAATAGGCCAGTCTCAAAAAAATTTTATGGGTTACGCACTGCAAAATTCATGTCATACCCAATGTTATGAATGGCTGCAGAAGGCATGAGCTATGAGAAGTCAGAACTTCCTTTAATGGCAGATTTTGCAATCACTGATTGGATTGCCACTCGGTCTGGTATAGGCAAGTTTTGTTTTTTCTTGTGTAAATTCACATACTGATATTATTCTTGTCTTGTACGAAATTAAAGTGAAAGTAAATTTCCTCTTATGAAAAATCGGGAGAATTTCTTGGCAAATAAATTGTAACTTGTGTTATTGGGGAAATCCTCATTTTAGTTGATGTGAAGTCAAGGCCTTTTGCTCATTAATGATATTATAAATACTAATGATTTAGGCTTCGTTTGTTTTGCTTTTAGAAATACTATTATTAGTATTCCCAAAACAGTTAAACAGTAAAATGTCATTATTCTCAAAATATTATTTTATATTTTTCAATTTCTTTTAAACCTCTTAAATTTGTTAATTTAATTGAACATCTCCAAATATTTTTTTTAGAAATTGCAAAAAACATTCCGGTCATCTTCCGGCGGTAGTGGCCGGTTGTCCGTATTTAATGGGTGGATTAGAGGTGTTTTTGTTAACTTTTAATATTTTATTGTAGGGGTGTTTAGTAAATAAACAAATATAGGGGGTATTTTATTAATTTTTAAATCTTACATCGTAATACCCGTTCAATTTAACTTTTTTCAAAAGATTATTCTAAAAACTATTATAATAATGAACCAAACGGAGTCTTATATTTTAAAATTTTCAGGTTCAAAGTGGAGATGAAGAGTCAGAGAAGTCATTGAATTCATGGTAGTATGAATCATATTTGAAATTAAATAAAATGTGACCATTCAACAATAATTTGTATCATATTATTAAAAGAATTTGAGGAAAGCCCCTTGCCAAAAAAAATCTATTTTTCTTGTTGAAAGTACGTGACATACAATAATTTAACATGTACGAGATGTAGTAATAAGAGATGTGTTAAAAGGGTAAGAGTGAGAGACTATAGAACACAAGGATCAAATTAATATTGAGGTTGTAAGCTTTTCATTCAAATTTCAAAGCTATTCTAATGTTTCTTTTTCTCTCTTTCTTGTTATATGACAAAGTTTTCAATCAAGGCTTTTATAAAGGCAACCAAGATGACTTAAAGGATAAAGATCAATTATAGCTTCTATACAATTTTGCTACCGATAATACTCATTAATGGACAAGTATTTTAGGTGGAACGATATTATTTTCATGTAGTAATCTGGTGTTTATGTTAACATATTTCTGCAATGGACCGCGACATTAAGTTCTCAGGAAGGAAGTATGGCCGCTTTACGATAGTTGAGACCCAGTCCACGTTCAACATCAACAACTGCCAACTTTCCCAATTAACAATTTTTGCTTCCAAAATTGAATTTTTTTTTTTTTAAATTATCTATTTCAATTATATTCTTTTTCTTTGAATAGATAGTTGGTAGTATTAAATATATTCATTCTCTATCGAGTAAAATAACTTCTTTTTTTTCATTGAAATATTACAAATAATTCATGATAAAAAAAAAAAAAAAATTTCTAGTTATTCATGAGGAGACAATATTAAAAAGTTTGAGTGCATCAATAATTAAAAAAAAAAAAAAAAAAGTAGTATCTATGCTCACAGTGTCGGAGTTTGACTCCGAGCTGATAGAAAAAATAAAAGAATCATTAGATTAATCTAGATCTAGATTGGATGGATTAAGAAATCAGAACTTAAAAACCTCATCGCCATGTAGAAGGCGAGAGCTTCGAGTTCTGCAGGAATTGCAGCACATCAGCTATAGCTTTTCGCGGAGCCAAACCAGTTTGAGATGAATTAATTTTCCTTACTCCTTAATACTCTCAGGAGGATTTCATAAGATTTTATTATATCATGAGTTAATTAAAGATGTTACTCAACTCTGATAGCCGAGTTTACCACTCTAGGCTCTAAAGGTATCAAATTGGTTGACTTGGATAATATAATATGAAATTATATATGTTGATGCGTGATTTTGACACCAACGAAATGCACGTGTGAAATGTTGGGTTAGCTCAAAAGACACACATGAATGGAAAGGAAAAATGACACTAAATACAGTGAGAAAGGAGTTTTAAAGTGGTTCGGATGCTAAGGAAGCAAATCCTACGTCCACTGATGTTTTTATTAATGATAATGGTCAGGTCGCTTTAGAAGACTGACTTTACACTAATGATACAAGGTATTAAAGATTGTCTTTTCTAGAGAGAGAGAGAGAGTTTTGTCAAGAGTAAAAATGTGCGAATCCCCTTAATGAGAGAGGAGCTCCCATTTTATAGTGGGATGCCTTAAGGTAATGATCACTGAATCTGTAAGTTGGTGGGATGACCCGTGCAAATCCTTCGTTTAGAGTAATTCACGTGATTTGCTGCGGTGATTGGACACGTGGGATCATCACAACTCCTTGCTGGCCTGACATGCACCCATTATTCTGACGGAAGCAAGCTGTGGGGTGCAACCATGATCACACGACGCAGCTACGCCAGAATGATAGTAGACTCTTCCCGAGGTCTAACCTTTCGCACTTAACTGGGCGCCATGTCAGCCCTATGTTCCCAGGCATAACAGAAGTCCCCTAGTTTTTAAGGTTTGAGAACCGAACCTTGGAAACTACAAGTCATGCCACAATTGGGTGATTCCTAGAGATTTTGGAAATTCCGAAAATTCCGACCTGTTTGAAAGTAGGTCGGGATGGCACTTTTTCGAGAACGACCTCGCATGTTCATTATTTGCAGGGGACGAATGACCTGATTTCGTCAGACGTCACTTTTTGTCCTTTTGATATGGGTGCATTGAATGAAGCAGTCCCTGCGCTGACAGAGCCAGATGCATTAAATGTGTTGTGCGCTGACACCGTACGCCTTATCAGGACATTAAATGCGTTGTACGTTGAAACGATGCCCTTTATCAGAGCATTAAATGTAGATTTGAGGCGCAATTAATGCTCTGAGGAAGAGAGATGGCCGTCGTTTGAGCTTTTCAACGGAAGAGATGAAGGTTTGACTTTATCCAGTCGTGACGCTCACTCTTCCCCGCTGATGCGCGACACTGGCCGTGATCAACGGTGAGAAACCTTTGCCGCCCAAACGCCGTTTCGATTCCAAGAAATTGAAACGCCGATTCATATGCTATAAAAACCTCGAGTCGTTCTTAGGCAATGTCACTAGAGCCTTTTTCTTAGAGAGTAAAAGATTTTCGCAAACTTGGAACCTGTCTCTCTAACCAGCATTTTTCCAGTATTCGAAGCGAAAGCTATTCTCATACTCCGAGAGGTAAGAGCTTTTCCCTGTTTTTGTTTCATTATCTTCCATGGCTGAGTGGCGTCTGTCTTCCGGTAGCCTATCGGAGACGAGATGCTTAGGTCAGGTTCAAGCCATGAATGGCAGCTCGAATCGTGCTGTTAGGGTTTCCTTTGGAATTTAGGGAGTTTGTCTCCTCCCACATCATCGTACAAAATAGCGTGCGACGGCTAAATGACCTTTCTGCTTGTCGCTTTTGCAGACCAGCAAAATGGACCCCTCAGCAACCAGATTTGAACAGGGAACCAGTTCGTCCCCACAAGGTGCTCCAAACATCCCTATCGAGGTCTTTTCGGTTCTTACTGGGGATGAGCTTGAGAGGGTAATAAAGCAGTACGGCATCGAGGTGGATGCTTTCCTCGACGTGGCGCACTCATTACGGTACCTGTTGAGTGGTCTGGCCGCGGTCTCCGAGGAGATCATCAAGGGTGGAGGACTGATCCCCTTCCACCCTTTCATCAGGTCGCTTTTGGACCACTTCAGGGTCGCGCCGATGCAGCTAACTCCAAACGCGTACGTCATTACTGTTGCAATGTACATCGCGTGCCAAGAGAACGGGCTCGGCGAGCTGACCGTGATGGAGGTCGGCTGCTTGTATTATTTGAAAAAGAGCAAGGACAAGGACTCTTACTACTTGTCCACGCGACCTACTATCGTCGATGGGATACACAGCTACTCGAGCAACGTGGGGGCCTATGAAACGAAGTTTTTCTTCTTTCATTATGACGGCCATTGCCACTTCCAGGAACCGAGTAGGCTTTTTTTTTTTTTTTTTTTGACAAATTCATTGCACTTGAAATATGCTTTTCTAACGACCTGATTTCTTTCTGACAGTTAACAAGACGACCGATCTAGGGCTGCTCTTCGATAGAAGTAGGATCCTGCATTTTGGATCCCTACCCGAGGACAAGCGCGACGCGAAGAAACTCGTGACGACTGCGAGTTTACGGAAATACGGTTTATTCAATGCAAACGCGTCGTTAGAGCCCCTATTGAGTAAGTCCTGCTAACTGGTCCCTTTCTGGTCGTGTAAAGTGATATTTTGGCTAATGATGCTTTGCATGCAGCGATCATGCCTCCGAAGGAGTCAGAGCAGCCGTGACGAAGGCCGCTCAATTTCTCTCGGATAAAGAAAGCCAAAGCGACTGAAGCTGCTTCTACTGTTCCTCCGGCAAAAGACGCAACATCGGGCCAACCGGCCCGACCTTCCGAAACTTCTCAAGCGGAACCTTCAGAGGACGTGCCGATGCGAACCACGAAGGTTTCCCAGCCGTCGCTTACTCGCCCGAGGCTGAAGACAACGACCCAGCGGAAGAAGAGGAAACTGATTCAGGTCGAAGAGTCAGAGACCGAATCTGAGGGCGATCAATCAAAGAGGTTGCGGCCGGACGTGAGCAGGTCGGGCAAGGAACCTATGATGACACGACCGCTACTGAGGCCTTGAAGAAGGATACTCCAGTGTTGGACTCGCTGGGGAACCTGCCGGAGTACCTACAGCCGGTGGTATACGCCCTATTGGAATGCGGACTCTCGGAATCTTTTGAGCAGTTCGCAAGTTCCAACGACGTGGACCTAATGTCTGCATCGATCCAACACTTGAGCAAGGTGAAGGAATTGTCCTCGGCTAGGACTTCCCTTAGCTTCTTTTGATTAGCTAACTTTTTCTTTCTTTGTTCGCAGGCTCTTCTTTTTATGCGAATGTCCATGGAAAAGATTCAACTGGGTGCTGCGAAGGGAGGTGTTGCTCTGAAGGAAGACAACGCAGTGCTCAAGTGAAGCCTGGAAGCTGTCGAAATAGAGAGAAACCTGTCTTCTGAGTCGACGAACAG